GTGAGATTCACGTCATCTCCGCACCGTCTGCCCTCTCTGCAGGCGCTGGGTCTGCGGAGTCCCGGAGTCGCCACAGCTCGTACCCCACGGGGAGCGAGGAGGATGACGGGAACGAGGAGGAGCTCAGCCCCTTCCGCGGCCGCTCGCGTTCAGCGCCCCCCAACCTCTGGGCTGCACAGCGCTATGGCCGTGAGCTCCGGAGGATGAGCGATGAATTCCAGGGTTCCTTTAAGGTGAGCGCCGCGCCGACGATGGGGGGGCCTACTGCCGGAGCAAGCCGGGACCCGTACTCCCAGGGCATGCCGGGACCTGCAGTGTCAAGCCTGGCCACTTTCTGTGTCCCAGGGCATGCCGGGATCTGTAGTGCTAGGACAGCCCCCCTCCCCAGCTGTTTTTGCCTTGAGTTCCAAAGCATGCCGGAATGAGTAGTCCAGACCGCTCCAGAAGGCCAAGATCTGGGGTCCCCAAATCCGGGGAACGCGAAGCACGTGGGCATCTGTGTTCCCAGTCGGTCCCTTCGGGGTGTCCTGGTTCTTTGCCTTCAACTTCGGACCACTTTTTAAATTCTTGAATAGCGGCCCCACCTTCCAGGTGGAAGATCCCTGGCTTCCTCGCTATCACACAGCGCCCTACGCGTCCGCTTTCCCCGCCCCTAGCACGGAGCTTCGGGATCTAACCCGTCCCATTCCTAAGGGCCCAAACGAGCGATTTCGAGCTTAGGAAAGTAGTCAGGCGACCCCTCGGCACAGGGCATGCTGGAAGCTGTGGTCTTTCTCTTCCCCGGGTTCTCACTTAGAGATGGGATTCCGGAAATGGAGGGCCCCGACTCGGACTGCTAACTCATAACCCTTTCCTTTTCCCACCCCGAAGGGACTTCCTCGCCCAAAGAGCGCGAGCACAACAACGCAGATGCGGCAAAACTCCAGCTGGACGCGCTTCTTCCAGTCCTGGTGGGATCGAAACCTGGGGAGAGGAGGCCCCACCTCCTCCCAGTGACCTTCCTTCCCGCACCAGAAGCTCCCCAGCGCGCGCCGCCAGCAGCGGCCATCTTGGGTGTGGGCGGAAGTCGCTTCCGCAGGCCTACGCCGAGAACCAGTCTCCATTTCGGAGGAGGAGTTCTGACCCAGAGGCGGATTTCCTTCCGGTGTGTGGGGGACCCCCGAGGGTTCCGTCTCGTCGGAAGTTTTGAGGTTTTTCCGCCCCGGGCCGCTGGAAGTGGGTTGCCCCAGGCGCCTGCGCCAAGTCGCTAGTCGGCATAACAAACCTCACCAGGACTCTCCTCCGCGGTGACCCTGCGGGCTGACGCTCGCCATGAAATGTGCTAATAAAGCCCACATCTGTGCCGCCGAGTCTCCTCTGTCAGTCGCTGGGGGCTTCGCGGGCAGCGCTAGTACTGACAGTTCCAGAAGATGCCACCGTTCTATACACAGGGGGAACTCGGACTCTTTCTTAGTGGCTAATCCTGGGCCGAGACCAGGAAAGGGTCGAGGGGCGGGCCGAGCCGAAGGCTTCTTGGCTCCCGGGAAGCGGAGCGCAGCTGCGCCCCAGGGACCTCCAGGCTCTTATCTCTAATCTAGTAATTGGGAACCGCAGGCCGACCGGCCGCCGGAATGCCTCACTCTGCAAACCGTGCCGCCGTCCCCCAGGGAGGGTCACTTGTTCCTATTTGGGTCAGTCCTTTAGAACAGCTACTGTGTGGCCGGCCTGGGGCCAGCGCTGCTGAGGGAGCTGGCTGGGCGCGCAGGACGGGGGAGGGGGCGGCGCAAGGCTCGGCCAAGGGCCGCGAATAGAGTGATAAACAGGGAACCAGAGAAGCTTCACCAGGACCTGGGAGCAGAGCTCCGAGCTCAATTCCAGAAAGATTTATTGGCGCCCCCTATAGATCAGCCAGTGATTTGTGTTGGGTATACAGAGATGAATTAAGACACAGCCGGTGAGTTAGTGCTGAGACTTGAAGGGAGAAATGGGGAGGGACTGTCATTCTGGGCAGAGGGGAAAAAGGACCCATGGAAGGATGGGGGGAGCAGCAGAGGCCAGGCTTCTGAGGGGCTCGTATGTCATACTCAGGAATTTGGAGTTTAGCCTGTTCTTTGAGGACCACGGGACTGACGTGTAGTGTTTCCATAGGTGGAGGCAAGCCAAGAAGACAGGAGTTGGCTGCTGAGGGGCCTGGACACACAATGCAGTGGGCAAATTTGGGGATGGGACAAGGACTGACCGGAGAAGCAGGGAAGGCCTGGGTAATGGTACTGACTCTTAGGGCCCAGAGTAGAGGTCCCCTGCCCTAGGAGAGCCCCACTCTGGAAGTCCTATATCTCTGGCCTCCCCACCTCATCTGTTTGCCTGAGGCTGCAGCAAAAACAAAGAAAGAAAACACTCAATTGGCAGGAGATAAGCCCAGATAAGAGGCTGCCTTCCTCTGTAGGAGGGAGGCAGACAGCCTGGGAAGCTCAGCCAGGAAGCTGGGAGAGGCCTTGAAGGAGTGCCAGCCTGACCCTGCAGCAGAACCCAGCCGCGCCCTCGCTGCCGGGTCTCTGCCACTCCACGCTGTCCCGAGGCAGGAAGGGGAGGTATGGAGCAGCTCCTCCAGGCTGGCTGCAGACCATCTGCCATAGAGGCTTCAGACCTGACCTGCCCCTGGGTCAGGACGTCTTGAGTTGGCCCGGCACACGTGACTTCTGTCTGGGCCTCAGTTTCCTCATCTGTAAAACAGGCATAACATCTCCCTCATAGGGATGAGGGGGTGCTGGGTCTCCCAGCCCCTGTGTCTGTGGCTGTCAGCTTCCCTTTTCCCAAGGGTCACTGTCAGGCCCACCACTCTTCCCACCTCCTCTGATGCTGGACAGGTCCTGAGCTGCCCAGCTCCACCCCTAGTCCATCTCCTGACAGTTAACTGCCTACATGGAGCCCAGAGCAGCCTCAGAGGAAGATGTTTGGCCCCTGGGTCATATCAGGCAAAAGGAAGGGGGGCAGGGGAGGCTTCCTGAAGCCAAGGCCTGAGCCTCCGTGAAGAAAGGACAAGAGCCCAGAAGGGAAAAAAGTAAGGTCCAGGAGCAAAGGGCACAGAGGCAGAAAAGTCTGGGGGAGGCCACAGGGCCTCTGGTGTCAGGTTATTGGGAAGATCTGCAGGCCCCAGGCAAGGAGGTCTCAAGGTTCAAACCCAGTAACTCATCACTGGGGCCTGACCTCAACCCCACAGTGCCCACAAGCCCATTTTATAGATGAGGAAGCTGAGGCCCCAGAAGAAGTGGCAGAGAGGGCCTAGAACCCAGGGTCTTCTCTAGCACTGCCCCACCCCAAACCACGCTGCACACAGGGTCCCTAAAATCCACTTTTATTCACGTAAAAAAAAAAAGTCCCCAGAGAATAGAGAAAGAATGTGACCCCTACTTCCCAGAGCTCTAAGTCTCCACACGGTGTTCCCTGGGGAAGTGAGGGAGATAGCTCCCACTCTGGGGTGTGGGCGTCATGGGGGGCAAGGGCCCCACCCAAGCTTTTCTGGCCCAGAGTGACCCAGCACCTTCCCTAGGACTAAGGGCAGGAAGGAGGGGCTGGGGACTAATGGGGCCCCAAGAGGGTGAAGGAAGGAAGTTAGTGTGGGGTGCTCGCCTCAGTTTAAAAAAATAAAATTTCTAAAGATAAAAAGTTAAAAAAAAAAAAAAAA